CCTTCCTTCCTTCCTTCCTACCTTCCTTCCTTCCTTCCTTTCTGCCTTCCTTCCTACCTTTCTACCTTCCTTCCTTCCTTCCTTCCTTTTATCCATCCTTCCATTCTTCCTTTCTTTGCTTGCCTGCTTTCTTCCACCATTCAATATCCCTCACTTGTTTTCTTTCTCCCTCCCTCCCTCTCTACCTTCTTCCTATGTTCTTCCTTTATCCTTTTCACCTCCTTGACTGCAAGCTCTTCTACCTTCCCACTTGAGTAATTATAAACCACTTTTCTTTGACTTTCTTGTAAATAAAATAAATAGATAAATCACTTTTATTTAAGTGTCTAGTCGTTCTAGCGCTTTTGCACTAATTGGGGACACTTTTCACTCACACGCACTACCACCACATTCAATATTCTATGCAAACAATGCTCAGCTGGCATGTTGATTTTTATGGAGGGAGGAAACCGGAGAACCTGGAAACAAACTCAATTCACATGTGGTGACCGCAGGGCTCGAACCAGCGACCCGACCCATTGGACTCACAGTGGTGAAAGATAGCACGTTTGCCGCGAACGCCACCCATGCTAGTCATGTATTTTGACTCTATAACTTTAACATTACAGCACCAGAAGATGGAGCCCCACAAGAATCGGCTGAAGAAGAGGAAGAACTTAACCCTGAAGCTCTTCTTGATGCAGCCAATCAAAATACAGATGAAAATAACATTGAATCTAACAGCGATGGATTAGTGAATGAAATCAGTAAACAACAGCTTGTTGTGCAGTATCTTCAGGTATAGTGTACACCTGTATTCATGTATACAGATTATTCTAACACCGTTGCAAATGCAGCCAATCAGAATGCAGGAAAGCTGTAGGCTGGTGTATATCCAGTATTATCCCATTTGAGACAAATGGTAATCTTGCAATGATAGAGACATGTGAATAATTTTCCAAGGTGTTAAAAGTGCCTATGACCCTTATTTTTTTTTACTTTTTTATATCGAAATATAAGCTATTCTAAGAAGCGTGTCAAAAGAATTTTTTGATTCTGACGCTTCTTTTTAGTTTTTTCAAGCGGTCAAAAGTGCGAAAATAGGAAGATTCCAAAATATGACCGAGCGGCAGGGGATACTGGGCTAGTGACGTCATAGTAAAATGTGTCTATTATTGCAATCTCACCGTTCATCTCATTCCAATGCAAAGGCACGGCTACCTTTCAAGATGGCATGGGGAACTGTGAAAGGGACTATAGCACTCTTTCTGGTTGACAGCACATGATGGTCAGTGTTTGACCACCATTAGGAGCAGATAATGAAATCTTCAAAGACATTTATTATCAGCTGAGTGAAAACCAGTAATTTTTAAATAGAATCCTTTGAATGCTATGATACTTTCTATACTTTTCTCCAGGACTATGTCAACTTTCAAACACAAATGGAAAAAGCTGTTCCAGTCATTTGCCAACTTCTTGGATCCAAGACTATTAGTGACGTTTCTGAATCCATTGAATTTTTTGGGACTGCTTATGAGTTTGGACTGCGAAATGCTATCTTCGGGGTGCGCAGGATGCTAGTACTGATATGGTCCCGAGATGCTGCTGTTAAGGATTCAGTGGTTGAGGCCTATAAGGGACTATATCTTGATCCACCTTCTCCTAATCAAAGGTACTCTACCAACAGTGAAAATGTTGTTCACTTTTCGTTCTTTTCCAAACAAATTTTCTGTGGTTCCTAGAAGTATGTCATCTTATATCAAGTTATTATAAGAGAGAGTTGATATAAGAGCAGGCATAGCTCAGTTGGCTATTGCCAGTGCACGGCTTTCAGAGCTAGAAGTCCATGGTTATTCCTGAGGATGTCCTATTCTTTTTCAACTTCTCTCTGTTCCCTGTAGCTTTAGCTTTCAAGTTACATGTAATGAAAAGCACTGGGAGTCGGAGGGAAAAAAGGACACACCTTTTCAAGCAATTAACAAAATTAATGAGGCCCTGGCTTGGGAGATTTGGGCAATCAATCCCTACAGTTTCAAAGTTGATATAATTTATTACCATTACCTTCTTACCTTTTTTATACCTTTCTTAGTACAGTGTTTACTACATACATGTAACTACAATCAAATTCCCATCTCTGTCTGGGCTAGTATGTTGTTTATTGTTATGAGATTGATGCTTCACAATGATACATTGTATTTACTTGTAGAACTAAGACAGCTCTCATAGTAAAGAACATGATAGCATTGACACATGGTGCATCTATTGGTGATCTGACCTCGCTGGAAGAACTGGTGAGTAAAGGATGATTTGATCCCATGCATTACTAAGGAAGTAAAAGGAGAGGGAGGGAGGAAGCGGTGAAAGGGAAGGAGGGAGGAAGTGGAGGAAGGAAAAAAGGGACGAAGGGATGAAGAAGGGAGAGAGGGAGGAAGTGGAGGGAGGGAGATGGAGGAAGTGGAGGGAGGGAGGCAGAGATGGAGTAAGTGGAAGAAGGGAAGGAGGGAGAAAGTGGAGGAAGGAAAAAAGGGAGGAAGTGGAAGAAGAGAGAGAGGGAGGAAGTGGAGGGATGGAGGAAGGGAAGGAGGGAGAAAGTGGAGGAAG